TAAGGGAGTAACTAAATTTTTGATTGTATAATATAAATATCTTAAAATAGTACTTTTTCTAAGTGGTTTGAAAGATATAGTAAGTTAATTTTATGTATTTAGGGAAAGTTAACTGGGCTGTTTATTAGCTCAGCATATTAAGTATTTTTACTAGAGAAAAAGAACCTCTTTTTTAAGCTCCTAGGAGTTACATTACAACACATTAAGGTTTATATTAAAATGACATACAGATGTTAATAAATGGGTGAGGCACATGTATTTTGGCAATATTAACTTAAATATACTTTGTAATTTGTTTTCTGAGAGCCCGTGGGTCTCAAAAAACATCCCACAAAAAAATGATTAGCCCACTTAATTCTACCCAGTCCTTTTATAAATTATATAATGGTAGTTTAAAAAATAACAGCACAACTAGGTGCTCATTGATTATTCAGAGGTTGATTGTCCAGATATGAGTATCGAGACTTTGCTTTTCCATTTTACCTTTTGCTATTTCCTTTTTAGCATGGAAACAAAATCCACAAGTCCCTTTACAACCCATTTCCTGATCCATAAAATTTTTGTTAGGGGCTTCAGCAAAACTGTACAAAAGGGATTTGGATTTATCTGCGTGTTTTAATTGTCCACATTGTTCTTGTTTGCTTTATCACTCTGAGCAATAGGCATTATTAGCTCAGGACAACAGCTGGATCCATCTGATAAATGTTGCTGACAGACTAAAACCATTTACTGTTTTCATAAAGTTTTCAAGGCAACTTTAGGAGCGATACTGTCCTTTACATTTTTTTTCCTTAAGTTTCTGTCCACTGGAAGATTTAGTCATCTTTGGATGCCTCCACAGAAAGTTTTTCTCTGCGTATGAATGAAGCGGTATTATCAATAAGGTATAGACTTTAAGCATCTAAAACTAATTGTGATCAAAGGAGGAGCAACACCTGTATGGTTCGGAGCCCTTCTATTAACATCAGTGCTTGTAGGCTCCAAATTTCTTGTCCCTGAGAAAAAGAAGTTGAAAAAGGTAACTGAGGGTTTGCCTCAAGAGTCCGGTCCTAGTGGTGAACTCTGAATGCTTATAAGATTTGGTTGGCTTTGCAAAAGTAATGAGCCCAGCTTTTCTCGGGGAGGCCTCATAAGAGTTCACCCTGTCATTTAGGATCTAAAAGCAAGTCTTAGACATTGTGTGAATTGGGAAGCCTGGATTATGCTATCAAAAAGACATTGAGATTCGCCTCCAGCACTATTCTAGAGGTGTGGAAATAGGCTACATTCTGCCAATTCCAGAACCATGCCACACAGACAAAATGCTCCATGTGTTCCAAGCCAAGGATTTCTGGTGTTTGAGCTATTAGCCAGTACCTTTTCCATCCTTAATAGTGAGTGGCCCAAAGTCAGATCCAACTTTAACCTGATAATTTTACAGTTTGACCAGCAGTTCAGCAAAGGATGGGCTTTAGAATTCAGCTGCCTGGCTTTAAATCTTTCTGCTGCATAATAGCTGTGTGATCTTAGGCAAGTTATTTAACCTGTGTCTCAGTTTTCTCATCTGTAATAGTCCCTACTTCATAGGATGGTTATGAGAATTACATATGTGTAAAATGCCTAGACTAGCAAGAGGTAAATAGTGAGCACTTAATATTAGCTATTATTTTTCCACCCAAAGCATATGGTATGTGGTGTTCTGAACGATTTGCTAATGATGTGATGAAAAATAAAACCCAATCCAGTTATTTGTGAGGTGTTAGCTGTGATGTGTCTGATTAAACTTGAATGTCAGCTCTCAGAAGTCCAAAGCAACATTTAGTAATTGTCTTCCCAAAAGAAGGGCTCTGTTATATTTTGTCACTTAACAACAGTGGTTTTATATACTAGAAACAATTCATACATTCCTCATTTAGAAATGGATTTTTCAAGCCCCAAAATGAGGTTCCTTGTTTATGGACTTGACTTAACCTGTTGGGCAGTGATGAACTTTGCACTAGATTTCAAAAGAGCTAATGCTAACCAAAGCAAAAAGGCATTTTCCAGCCTTGGAAAGCTGCATCTGAGGTGTGTATGAGAAGTTCCCATTTTGCTTGGTTTTCAGAATCTAAGCACCTCTCGTTTATTAGTGAATTCGTATGATGGTGCTAAAGACATAAGGAAATAGTTGTTGAAAGGCTATTAGACTTTAAATTTGAAGCAAAGAAAAAGTCCTCATCATCTTAGAAGAAAAACTTGGGAGTAACTACAGAGAAAAGTCTCTCTGGATTTTTCTTCATGATTCTAGCACTCACCAGGCTGAGGCTTTCTGAAAACCACCTGGTGTCGTTCTTCGGTTGCTGGAACTCTTTCACCTGGGCCTCAGCCAAGTCTTGTGTTGGCATTGGCCTTTTAGGGTCCTGCTCTAGCTGTCAGCTCATGACTTTTTGCCGTGAATGACGAAAGCTGTCTTGGAAATACTCCCATTCTGACTTGAGAGATAAGGAGTAGGGAATCCTGCCAACACAGGGGAGAGCTGATAGGGACCAGCACACTGCTGGCAGCCACCCTGTGAGTCCAAGGGCCTGTAACCAGTGAGAGGCAGAGGTAGACTTTCCACTGCAGAGGGCCTGTTTAGATCATGGTACACAGTTGCTACTTCCTAATGGTGGAGTTCCTCTGTGTAACGGGATTTAGACTTTCCCCAAATGAAGATTATTTGCTCTCCAAGTGTGCTGGGCTACTATAGAGGCCTTTGATTGAGAAAGCCTATCATTTCTGGTTGAGTGGATACAAGGCTTTGGCAAAAGGTAGGGAGGTATATATCTCTTGTCTCACTTTGGATATGAAAATCCAAAAATATACTTGACCAGGGTTAGAACCATTGACAGCAGGAAAGAGCCTTAATCTAGTGCAAATTGGTAATTTTTTGAGGGTCCATGGCTTTCCCAAGGTCACTCTGAAAATTAGTAACAAAGCAGGGACTAAATTTCAGGTCTCCTTACTTCTAGGCCAGAATTCTCCACCTGATAGTTCCCTCTCCAGGGCATATGTGCTGGAAAGCTCTGCACTATTAGAGAATTCATAACCATAAATGGCTGAAAGAAGATAGAACAAGAAGCCCAGGACAGAATTTTCACCTTCAAAGCTTCCACACAAGGATATGGTGTTAGACACCTGACATTTTCACCCAACTTCGCAAACATGTTTTTAATAGACTATCTCATAAGCTGCAGGTGGGATAAAGTAGACAAAACCCCACTGATTTCTCTTACCAGCCAGACTGTAGCCGTGGCAGCAGACAGAGGTGAGGTGACATCAGTTAATTAATGAAGCCCAGCAGGAAATCAGTAATAACACTGACAAGGAAACCATCCTAGCATAAATTTTTTAAAAATAAAAGTGCCTAAAATGAATGTTTAAAGAAAAATGTTTTGTTAACTGCAGTTTTGCAAGTTGTGCTTGGTATCCTGTGACCAGTGTGCTGTTTTTTTTTTTTATACAGCAGTAGATACTAGTGTTCCAATATGTGAAGGAACCACAAAAGGCCACCCTCATTCAGCAGCCTGGTTCTAGTCATTCCTCTCACCCTGCCCTGCCCAACAACCTAGAAACAGGCTGGTCTCCGAGAATCCAGGCTTTGGAGAGCAAGCTTGCAGAGGGCTTGCTCTCGGTGGAGAGCATTCTTGTGTCTAGTTCTAACAAAATGAGAAATTTTTTTTTCATAGCATTTCTGCTCTGACAGTACTAAGTGCAAAAGAGGATCCTGACTGAGGGTTTCCTGCTTTGTTTTCCTAATGAGAATTTGCTTTAGTTAAAACCTATGACTTCATTCAGTATTAGTCACAGAAGGCTGGTTGACTATGTTAATAATCTACCCAGCCCCTGGCAAATGTTCAGAAGTGTTTGCTAAAAATCCAGCAATGCTGGAAGATTGGAGAAATTGTCTGTGGTTCTTCCCTTACAGAAATTGCATTCATGTATTTGAGGAGTCACATTTCACTCATGAATATTTTTACTGTGTACATGATTTTTTTCCACCAGGGAAATGGTTAAGTTGAAGTATGCTGTCATTAGCTTGTGAATGGTAAAGCTTGGTGTCTAGTCACTGAACTTGAGTTCTCGCTGTAACAGTCACAGAGTTTGCAAATTCAGATGCTTTTAAGGGACAGAAGGTTAATATAAGTGTGGAGAGCAGCCTCTACTCCGCTCCAACTGATTGTTGCCTTGTTGTCTTATAGGGATGAGCCCAATGTTGCCAGATTGGATTCTCTTTTTTAAATAAGAGGCCAGAAACCAGATTTGTGAAATATCCCCATTTTTAAATGTTATTTTAAAAACATTTAAGGCATCGTGTTGTCTAAATAAAACATACCTGGGCCATATGGCTTCTGATCCAGACTTTTCTGCCTTGCCCAAGAATTCAAGCAACACATATTTTACTGAAATAGATGTTGCATGATCTCCTAAGTGTATAAGTTTTATTAAATATCTCTTTTCTCTTAACTGAAAAATATAAAACATACACAATGGGCCAGGAATAACCATTCTAAGACAAATGCTCTCAGTAAATGAATGTACCTCGTAGTGAAGTACAGATGATTTTTGTTTTGTAAATTATTCCCAGTTGTTTCAGTTTGGCATACAGTGAGGATGCGGACTGGTGTCTGAGAACCTCCCCCCACCAACTTCTTGGCTTTGGCACAGAAAGGGCCACACAGCTCCCCTTCTGTCAGGCCTTAGCAACTCCCATTCCTTACTTGTAGAGATTTTTTTTTTCTACAGAGGGATTCACATGTCTTTTTAGTGAAATAATTTTCATTTTTGTTTTAAATTGGAAAGTTACTAAGGGAGTGAAACTGAGGTGTAAGAAGTAAGGTAGTGGGTGTCAGTGTGCAACATCTACACCCAACCTTCAGAAGCCTTGATGGTCCTTCTGGCCCTGGAAGCTGAGACATTGCTGAATTTTGAAAAGCATCATATATAGATTTACCTCCAGATAAGTATGGGTTAAAACAAAGATTTACAGGTGGTAGGTTTTTTTGTTTTTGTTTTTAAAGCCAACTGTGATCCCACTAATATTTCTAAGGAAAATGTAAACTGTTCATACATTCTCTTAAACATCACAGTGAAAAACAAGTACCCGTATGTGTGATAGGGCAGGCAGAGGACTCCACCTGCTCTGTCCTTGGTAAAGGCCCTTGGCCACACTGGTGAAAATGCCGGCTTCCCTTCTGCATGGATACCTATGTCATGCTATCCCACTGGAGCACCGGTGGACCCCAAAGGCAGGGCAGGGGAGGGGATGTTGTTGAAATGTTTCCAGGAGCTCTGTCCAGCTGTTTCTGTCTTCCAGCCTGGAGTGCTGCATAAAACTACAAGGACACTGATGAGACCATGGATCTGTTGCCATTCTCTAGAGAAGACTTGGCTTGGAGTATGGCTGCCTGGATTCTAAAATGTGTCCTTGACTCCATGGAGTAATTCTTGTAGTTTTGCCTGGAAAAGACCAGAGAATGAGGCATATAAGGCTGCTCTAAGAAGTGCTTTTCCTTTGATCTGAACTGTAGGAGACTACCAGGCCAAGGAAGATTTTCAGACACTTAAATGCCTGTCTCTGTCCAAAGAAAGAGTTGGGCCTTGTCCAGTAGAGAAAAACAGAAAGGATGTGTAACCCCTCACCCTGGTATTGTACCCTCTGGAACCACTCTTATTCCTGTTGAGTCCCCAAGCTTGAGGGAATGATTTTAAGAAATAAATCCATGGGGCTAGAAGGCAGGAGACCTGGGTCTTCCTACCAGCCCAGCAGTTGGCTTGTGGTGTGACCCTGGGTAATTCACTCCCTGCTTCTGGGATTCCAATCCTCACTGGCAAATTGAAGAAGCCTCCCTATACCAGGTGAGAATTGGGTTCCCAGGGACACAGGCCCAGCGTCTGGCCTGCCATAATGCCCTTACCAGCACCCTTCTTCCCTGCTGCCTGTGTTCTGCCCCAACCCGGGTGAAGCTCCTGAGCTCAGGGGGAACAAAGGACAGACCGACGCTAACCACGCCTTACTTGGCAGTTTCCAAAAGTTTGACAGCCTCTTCATTTCTGCCTTGCTCCATAAACAGTAGGGCCAGCTCCAGCAGGGCGTTTGGTATCAAGTAGTGATCATACTTAATCTTCTTTTCACTGTGGGACAGAGGAGGACATGGCTTACCGGCTCTGCCCTTGAGATATCCTTCAGAGTCTTCCTGAGCCTTCCCCGAGTGGGAGGATCTAATCCATGCCTTCATGTGGGGTTTTCTGATAACGAATCCTAGTTGGGAAGGTTCCCACCACATAGCTGTAGAAAGGCTTATGATCCACACAAGAGCCTTCCAGTCCTCTGCACCTAGGGCCTCAGTTCCCTGATAACTTATGGCTCATGCCATGTCCTTGGCCCATGCCCACTGTCGCCAACCCCCTTTGTCCAAGTTAAATGGTTTACTAAATTAGGAAGTCTACTGTCTCCAGTCTTGGCCCTTCTGACCCACTCTCCATGCTGCATCAGGTACTCTTTTAAAACCCAAACCTGCCCTGCTCAGTATCCTTCCTGATCTTTTCTGTCTGCAGGATAAAGTTCAGCCTTGTAAGCAAAACATCCAGGCCCTTCTCAGTCTAATCCCCCTTATTTCATCTATAACCCTTTCCCTCTATATAACTTCACCCAAGCAAGGAAGGACCTAATCACTGTCACCCCAACCTTGGGTGTTTATCCTGTGTCCAGGCATTTGCACATGCTGTACTTACTCCCACTTAAAACTCCTGTTTTCCTTTCTCTGCCTGATAAACTTCCCAGTTAAAATGGCATCCCTGGAAAGCCTTTCTTGGTATCTTGCATTATGTTTAGGTCCCTCCTCAGGGCACCTACTGTCCTCCCTGCTTTCCTCTTAACACAGCCTTGATCATACCAGACTGAGTTGCCTATAGCTGTCTACCTGTAACATTTGTGTTCCTCAAGGGCAGACTTGAATTACAAACTCTAGGAGGCACCATTCACCTAAAACTTCAGTGTGGATGGACTCCTGTAGGTAGGCAATCTGGTGGCCCCGGGGAATGAGGTCTAATGATCTGTGCCCAGCAAGGATCCTGGCATAGAACAGACACTAGTACAAGTGTAGTGAATTGGGGGTAGGCTAGAGTGAAGCATTGGAGTGCAGGTGAGGAAGGAGGGACCCTGCCAGTTCTACCCAGGAGACATGGGCCCAGCAGTAGGCCACCTGGAGTGGGAGCAGCCACAGAGGCACTTACTTGAAAGAGATGCTCCTGAAATTCTCCTCAGCTTCCTGGACACGGCCTAGGTATTTCAGACAGAGGCCTTTCAGCAACTTCACCAAGCACTCATCATCCACTGAGTACTCATTCTCTAAGAATAGGGGAGTGAGGGAAGAAGACAGGCTTGTTTATTTCTGCAACAGTTACTCATGGAGCCCCTACTCTGCTGGGCCCTGGGGACAGAGAGGTAACTCACACATGGTCACTGTCCTCAGGAAGCTCACATCTGGGAAGGAAAGACAGATACTGAGACAGTGACAATGTAGTGAGATCAGGATTGACTGAAGGAAGCCCAGGGGCTGTGGGAGGCCTTGACCCTACCTGGGGGACAATGGACAGCTTGGAGAAGCTGCCATTGAAGCTCAGTCTTAGAAAGACAAAGGACCACTAACCAGGGTAGAGAAGTAAGGAAGAACATTTTTAGTAGAGGGAAACTTTAACTGTAAAGACCTGTGATCTGACTCAGCCTGGCAGTTTCAAGGGCCGGGGTTAGTCACCTGGGCCCTTTTTCAGCATCTCTTCAGCCTTGGTGATAATCTCAAGTATCCCGTCTGTGAGTTCCGGCTGCTTCCCAATCACAGCATAGCCATTCCAAATGTACATCATTTCCTGAGGGCAATCACAGCATAGCCATTCCAAATGTACATCATTTCCTGAGAGCCATTCCAAATGTACACCATCTCCTGAGCGCAAGTCAGTCCAAAGGTTTCCTCCCAAGTGGGGCCTTAGTTTCCCCAGCTGTAAATAGGCAGCTCAGATCAAGAGGATCACTAAAGGCCCTTCTAGCTCTAATCTTTTATGACAGATCTCAGCCCAGCCTATGAAGGGCTCGAAGGGACCGTGGCAGGGAGCCTCATCACGGATATTGGGATCTCACCTTAACACCAATGTGGATTTAAGATGGACCCATATCCTCACTGTTCTGCTCATACCTGCACAGTTTTAAGATTTTATTTATTCATTTATTTGAGAGAGAGAGAGAGCACATGAGAAGGGGGAGGGTCAGAGGGAGAAGCAGACTCCCCGTGGAGCAGGGAGCCCAATGTGGGACTCGATCCCGGGACTCCAGGATCATGACCTGAGCCGAAGGCAGTCGCTTAACCAACTGAGCCACCCAGGCGC